ATATTAATTTCTGTTTGCCTGAAATGCTCAAAGTAATTAAAAATAATTTTAAAATACCAGCAGGCAAAAGAAAAACAGATGTCTTCAATAGAAAGCATATAAAATTAATTTAACCCACTCCCAAAATTGTTGCCCTGGCATAATCTTTAAACCTTAAACCAAAAATATCCCCTGAAGTCTTAAAACCAAACAATAGTTTAGCTTAACTAGTAAAAAATGTCTGCCTTGAGCATGATGTGGTTTTAAGAACTATCTATAGGGGACCAAATTGACAATAGCAACTCAAAAGATTAGATAGGAACCTTAGGGGGCAATGAGTTTATGTCAATGGGAGAGGAACTACTCAAAAGGAGGGTGAGAATGGACGCTCAACTCAAAGAATGTAATCAGTGTTACTGAACTGTACGTGTAAAACTGTTGAATTTGTATGTTTGCTGTGTATATTCTCAACAACAAAAATAAATTATAAAAAAATAATTTATTCTAAAAACAATGTTCAAAAAGCTGATGTTGTGCAATGTCACAAGGAATTGAGAAAGGTAATTTCCATTCTGTTAAAGTATTATAAATAACATATGTGTATAGGGTCGCTATGAGTCAGAATCGACTTGATCGCAACGGGTTTTAGGCAGGAAAAAAACCCACGTTAGGTATTGCAACAGAGAGACTTTAATATGTGGGATTAGTTAAACAGGTGTTAGGGAACCCTGAGGTGACATAAACAGAGTAACTATAAAAACCAATTACCACCCTGTGGCTGAGGGAACAAAGTGAAAAGGTTTCACGTTATCTGAATCTAGAAGCTTGGAGGGGGCCGTCTATGGAGCTGGAACTCAGACTTCAGAGGAGAAGACACTGTGTAGCTGATACGAATGTATCTGAGAGGTCACGATTAAGCTGAGAGTGCCAAATAAAAGCCAGAGAGTAGAACTATCTATAGTGTCAGGAGTGAAGAGGACTTGTTGGGGTGAGGTTGACAGGAACAGGAAGCAAACAGAAGAAACCCGAAACCCACTGCCATCTAGTCATAGTGACCTCATAGGGTTTCTGAGGTTGTGAATCTCTATGGAAGCAGACTGCCACATCTTTCTCCCAAGAAGCAGCTGGTGGTTTCTGACGGCTGGCCTTTTGGTTAGCAGTCAATCACTTTAACCACTGCACCACCAGGGCTCAAACAGAAGAAGGAAGCGCCTTTTCCTCCTGCTTTCCGTTCCCCTCTAGTACCCTCTGAAATTTTAACAAGAGTACTCAGTCTGATCATGAAAAATGAGAACTGATAACTTCAAAGTTGGTTTTATTGTTCAAAATGGTTTGAGAACTCCTAGAGGATTTCCTTAGAGCCCATAGCAGAACATTTTTTAATATCCTTAATGGAAGCAAATTCTTTAAATAATTTCACTTTCTGAAAGTAAATAGTGAAAAGTCAAAATCATTTTAGATTAAAAAATGAAAAGATACTATAAACTAGAAAAGAATGTTCCTATGTTCTATGTTCTCTGAGGAAAGGTAAATTAAAAAGTTTTGCCCTCTCAAACCCTTTCAAAGAAGAAATGGAGATATAAATCAATCAATCAAAAAATTTATCGCTAAACAAATATATTACAAAAATGTTTGAACAGTGGCTATATGCATGAATTCAATCTTTGCTTTTAGAATCAACTCATGGTTGGAAAGTTTTATACCCTTTCCTCACTTGTTGACGCGGTTAGTTTCCAAAGACCAGGTCATTATGTGAAATGGGTGTTATGCAAAAATGGAGGATGACCACATCAGATCACAAAACAGAGGATGACTACATCATTACATAACTGCCAAATCATATCATTATGTAACTACCAAACCACTGAGAATCATGGTCCAGCCAAGATGACACATAACCTAAACCATCAAAGCTAGCACCTCAGCATTCGTTACTGCCAGATGTCAGCTGTTAATGCACAAAATAGTCAGATAGTAGATTTTTTTACTATTACCATGAATGCAAAATGTCAGATAATGAGATAGTCAATAAGTGAGGAGAAGGTGTATAACACTAATTATAAGTGTTTAGAACACAAATGTCAGAAAAAAAACTGAGAAAAACAACAAACAAATAGGAAGTCTATGAAAATATAGGTGGAATCTTAAGCTAATTGATGGGGGCGGATTTCCAAATTAATGCCAATCTAAGTGCTCAAAATAATCAGAACTTAAGTAGAATTAAAAGTGAATCAAATAAACAATATACCATATTAATGAGCTAAAAAGAAGACATGATCATCTCCATAGATATAGTTGAAAAAATAATCAAATCCCATTAATGTTAAAAACACTTATGTATCAGGAGTTGACAGATATTTTTAAAACTCTAGAAAATATTTATATACCTCAGCCCAAAAGCCAGCATCTTAAGTATGAGGAACTATGAAAGGTATTACCATTAATTCAAGATGTAGACTAGGGTACCCAATATAGCCACTACTATTTAACATAGTATTAGAAGTATTAGCCAGGCAACCAGAAAAGAGAAAGGAAATGGGGGCTTAAGAATTGAAAAGAAAGAAAGAAAAATTAACTCAAAAATTGTAGAGAATATTATTAGATATCTGGAAAATCCAAAATAAACAATGTAAAAAAACTACTACAAGAAATAAAAGAATTTCTCAATGTAACAGCTTATAAAACTAATATACAACAATCAATAGTCTTCATACATACAAACCAAAAAAGAGAAAGTATAATGAAACAGAAGACACCATTTGTGATAGCAAAAGAAAATAAACTGCCTACACATGAATGTAATAAGAAATGTCAAAAAACTACAGAAGAAAAAGTATAAGACACCCTCGAAAGACACAAAAGTAGATTTGAACAAAAGTAGATTTGTCAAAAAGCAAAAAAATAAAAGTGAAACATACCCACAATAAAGAGTGTCTGGAACTGATTCAGAGCCTTTCAAAAGCATCTCCAAGAAAATATCATTCGGTAATATCCACACCCCACTCACAAAATAACCAGAAATACGTTGTCATAGTTCTCTAGTGTTGCTATAACAGAAATACCACAAATGGATAGCTTTATCAAACAGAAGTTTATTCTCTCACAGTCTAAGAGGCTAGATGTCCAAATTCAGGGCACCAGATCCAGGGGAAGGCTTTCTCTCTCTGTTGGCTCTAGAGGAAGATCCTTGTCATCAATCTTCCCTGGTCTAGGAGCTTCTCTGCGCAGCAACCCAGGGTCCAAAGGACACACTGTGCTCCCTGTGCTGCTTTCTTGGTGGTATGAGGTCCCATATCTCTCTGCTCACTTCTCTCTTTTATTTCTCAAAAGAGATTGATTTAAGACATAACCTAATCTTGTATTTTGAGTTCTGCCTCATTAACATCATAGAGGTAGAATTCACAACACATAGGAAAATTATACCAGATGACAAAATGGTGGACAATCACACAATACGGGGAATCATGGCCTAGCCAAGCTGACATAAATTTCTGGGGGACACTATTCAATCCATAACATACGTGAATAGAAAAAAGGAAAGAAAACATTTACTCGCCTAAAAGTTGTTCTAAATGTTTACTTTCCAAAGCCTAGAAAAGTGACAGGGTAGAAATACTAATTGGCTACAACGTTTAACATCTCAAATACCCTATTTGTTTCACAACTATCAAAATGCTTGTGTAACTGACAATGAATAATATACTCTGTTGGAATTGCAGGAGGAAAAGATGAGAATCCTCTCTGTCTGGTATATTGTTTTATTTTGTTTTGTTGTTTGAGTGTTGGAAAGGAGAATGAAAATATGGGAGGGGAATCCCTTTTGTCTGATACACTGTTCTATTTTGTTTTGTCTCTTAAATTTTAATTTATGTTTTAGTAGCTTGTTTTGAAATTCTCTTTTCTGTGTGCAGTTGACCACAATATCTGCTAGAAATAAAAAGGTAACACATGAATTGGGTAAAACATTGTTTGATTTTACTTGTATATTATAGTATCCCAAAATATCAGAACTAGAGGGACCCCCGAAATCACTAGTCCATCCTCTTTACTGCAGAGACTTGCACAAAAATACAACAAGATATTGATTTACTTTCCAAAAATTCAAGGGAAGATTGTTAATGAACTAAAGGCATTATTTTGTGTAGCTCACTGGAACTGGCTGCATAAGCTCAATCACCACCATTGCTGAATAATTGATTCCCACCATTTCTAGCCCCCACTTTGTCTCATGATACTTTTTCTTCTTTCTCCTCCTCCTATTCCAGACCCAGTGAAGGTTTAAAATTTACTAAAGTTAATTTGGAGGGTAGCAAAACAAATTGATAACCCTCAAGGATTGCCAGTAAGAGGTTAACTCAGCTGGGTTGTGCCAACCATGACTACCACAAACAGAAAATATAATCCTGTCCATATGAAACCTTCAGCCAGTCTCCAGTTCTGGGAGACAGGTTTTTTGGAGGAGCTCACTCTCCTCTGTCTCCTGTATATGGATACACAATAAAACCCTCTTGCTGCTCACCTCACCCCTGTTTCAGTATTGGCTTTTGCGGCAGGCGGCTCAGATCTGTGTTTTGCAGTAACATCACTTCACATATGTCAGACAAAGGGACATTTTATTTTCAAGGAAAATTACAAACACATACTTTATTGTTGATGCTGTTGTTAGTTGCCACTGAGTCGATTCCGACTTATGGTGACCCTGTATGTGCAGAGTAGACCTGTGCTGCATAGGGTTTTCAAGACTGTGACCTTTTGGAAGCAGATCGCCAGGCCTTTCTCCCAAGGCACTTCTGGGTGGGTTTGAAGAGCCAGCCTTTCAGCTAGTAGATGATAGTTTAACCATTTGTGCCACCCAAGGTCTCCCACACACTATTTCAGTCATTAAATCATCTATTTTGACTGCAAGATTGGAATGCAAACAAGCAAAACAAATTTGTAAAGAGCTGGCTGTGTGCATAATCATAGGAATACTCCAACAGGGGTGTTGTTCCAAGAGTGGCAACATCATGGAAATGACGGTCCTAAGGAGAAGAAACCTGGCCAAAGAAAAGGATGCTGTTGGACTCATTGTGCCTAATGAAGAACAGGAAAGGGTGATTACAGTGGAAGTTTTCATAATTAGGGATTGATGTGATGCCCATGGTCCCGCCTGTGGCAGCCGCAGCCTCAGTGCCTTCCTCCGTCACCACCACGAAGGACTTGTGCCGGAATTCCTTGATGTACAGACGGGAGCCGGCGGACATTCCAGAAAAGTCTGCTTGGTTCTCCCTGAAGGCGTCTGTTATCCCCATAGCACCTAGGGCATCCTTAAGATTGTAAGTCTTCTCTACTTGAAACCGGGGCAAGTGCACGCTCACATTCTTTTCTTCCATATGCCCTGGGCTAGTCCACTCGATCAACAGCTCAGGAGTTATTCTATCTATAATCTAGTGTTTAAAAAGGAGGGCAGAATGGCATGAATATCAATAAAAATTTAAAACAATATAATGCTGAATTGTATCAGTCAGAAATTATTACTTTTAATTATTAGTAATAAATAAAAGTAGAAATTTCATTTCATTATACTGTTGTTTTATATAGCAGGCAGTTGTCCTATATGTTTCCCTATTATCTGTGCATATATGAAAACCCAGTGGCATTAGATGTATTTTTAAAGATAAGAAATGAATTCTTTCTTATTCTACCAAACTAAAGATATTGTTTTATTTTTTACTGTCTCTCTCGAGTCTTTTATGTATATATACTTTTTACACAGTTGCAATCACAGTGAATTTCTGGCCTTACTTGATATAATGTAAACTTTTTCACACTACTGTATGTCTCTCCTAAATATCTTCAAACTGCTAGGTAACATTCCCATCAAGTGGATATGTATTTCACCTAACATTGATCCATTCATTCACTTTACGAATACCTAGTATGTACCAGGCACTATGATAGATGCCCAATATATGCTGCAGAAACAAAAATTACTAAGTCTTAGTCCCTGAATTTCAAACAAGGTGTCCTATTGCATTTAATGCTGAAATCACTCATTTGGCTTAGAAAGACATTTTTCTTTTTCTTATGAATGATGTCTTTCGGATAATTCCCACAACTGGGGTTTTTGAGTCAGAGTATGAATATTCTTAATGCTGTCATACATTGTTGTCATTTCACTGTCCCAAAATATGTTCCAATTTATAAAGCCATGTTTCCCAGCAAGAACACAGCATCCAGTATTATAATAATACAGCAGCTACCATTTATTGAGCCCTTTCTGTGTCTCAGACCTGTTAGAGGCTCATTATCTATCTATCTATCTAATCTATCTATCATCTATATCTATCTATCATCTATCTATCTATATATGAATATATATATACATATATTACCCCTAATCACTAAACAATACAACATAGGAACCACTATGCAACCCATTTTATAAATGGAAAAATATTGAGGTTCCTGAAAGTTAAGTCTCTTCAAAGGACAGATAGTTGCTAAGTAGAAGAACAGGGATTTAAAACAAAACCTTGATTTCAAAAACACAGAACATTAGCCACATTAATTTTTTAACTGCAAAGTGGGTCGGACTAAATCAAGGACACTTAACCAGGGGTCCAAGACTGAGAAAGAAATTCAGAAGGTTCATGAGTTTAGTGATCAGTATGCAAAATTTTCTGTAAATGTGCATATGTGATTTTTTTTCTGGGAAAAGGGGTCCATAGACATCAACCATCCCTCAGAACGGTGGGTGATCTTTAGAACTCCTAAAGCCAAACCCATTGCCGTCGAGTCGATTCCAACCCATAGTGAGCCTATAGGACACAGTATAAGTGTCCCATATGGTCTCCAAGGAGCAGCTGGTGGATTTGAACTGCTGTCCTTTGGTTAGCAGCTGTAGCTCTTAACCACTGTGCCACCAGGGCTCCTTAGAACTCCTATATGATCTTAAATATCCATTTCAGCTATCTCAAAATATTTTAGTATTGGTTCTTCTCAATGAGCCTGATACGATGCTCTGTTCCTCTTTAGACATCCATGTGTAGCTGCTGCACAGGGAGAACATTGTCCACTTGGCACTGCCAGGCACCAGCTCCCACTGGGAAGCCCCGTTTTCAGGCTCACCCAGGGCAAGCTTTGGGACACAAAGCATCGGGGAAGGAAAGCAAACACGGGCAGATGCAAGCTCTCACCTTCTCCAGACCATCTATGTCATCTGGTAGCAGCAGGAACATGCTTAGGTCATTATTTTTATATGGAATTCCCAGAATTTTGGCCTGCAAGCCCTCCAGGTAAGTGAAGTTAAAGGAATGGCGCTGTTTCATCATCTGCACAGGTTTACTTGTGGTCTGCAACACATGAACAGGACCCCCAAATGGCACAAGAGGCATAAGACAACCAAGCTGGCCCCCAAAATAATTAGCTCCATCTAAAATTATGCTAAAGATAAGAGCCTCGAGAATCAGAATTTCTTATCTACTAGCCTACATTTCTTTGGTTTTAAGCTATCTCATTTGTAGTAATTTTTTTTTTATGGCAGTGGTGGTTCAATGGTAGAATACTCACCCTCCATGCTGAAGACTCGTGTTCGATTCACAGCCAATGCACCTCATGTGCAGCCACCACCCATCAGCCAGTGGAGGTTTGTGGATTGCTATGACCCTGAACTGGTTTCAGCAGAGTTTCTAGACTAAGAATGACCAGGAAGAAAGGCCTGGCAATCTATTTCCGAAAATCAGCCAATGAAAACCTTATGGATCACAATGGTTCAATCCCCAATCAATCACAGGGATGGCACAGGACTGAGCAGTGTTTCCTTTCATTGTGCATGAAGTGGCCATGAGTCAGGGGCTGACTCATGGCAGCTAACAACATCACAATTATACATTTGATCAAGCGTGAGTTTAGATTTTACATTCTATGTATAAGCACATCGCTGAAATAAAGAAGGACCATACCTTATTCAGCCAAAATTGCTCCTCCCTGGTATCTTCTTTCTTAAATTCCCTGTCCCATTGCCCTTTAAAATAAACTGTGTTCACCAGCACCAGCTTGCTGGAGCTGTCAAGGGAGCCATCTGGAAACAGGTCCTTGATTTTTCCTGCAAATGAACAACAAGAACATCAAAATTGGTTTGTCTTCAAAATTACAAGTGATATGCATGGCAGATATGAAAGCAGATGGACTTGACCATTAACAACTCAGTCAGGTCAGCACCTGAAGGCCTGGCCGGCAAAGGGGTTGCTGGAGAAATTGGTACGTTAAGTTTGTCCATTGGTTATTTATCCTATTGAGAGCAGAAGGTGTGATGGCTAAGAGCTGGGGCTCTGGGGTCAGACTGCCTCTGTTAGCATCCAACTGTGCCTTATATCAGCGGAGGAATTCTGGGCAAGTTATTTAAGCTGTCTGCCTCAGTTTCCATATCTGTAAAATAGGAATAAAACCTGCCTCATAGAGTTGTTGAAAGGAATAAATGACTCAATACGTGTAAAGCACTCACGACACTATCTGGCACATAATAAGCACTCAGTATGTGTTAATTAGGAGCCCTGATGGTGCAGTGGTTAAAGCACTCGGCTGCTAACCAAAAGTTTAGCACTTCAAACCCACCAGCTGCTCCACAGGAGGAAGATGTGGCCATCTGCTTCTGTAAAGATTTACAGCCTTGGAAACCCTATGGGGCATCTCTACCCTGTCCTATATGGTTGCTATGAGTCAGAGTTGACTCAGCGGCAGTGGGTGTTAATTACTATTATTTTTGCCTGTTCTGGATAGTTACCACTTAATATTTACAGATTACCTATTTATTGGAAAAGGAGCTGACTTTTTTATGTCTAGATGACGTCAGCCCATTTCACACTAAATACTGAAGAATACCACTTTCAGTCAACTCTTTGATAGACTCCCCATTTTTTTCTACTTCTTTTAATTTTCTTGCCTTTGGGGTAAGCATTAAGAAAAAAAACCATTCTGAAATAACAGAGGTTTCCATGACAACTGGAATAAAAAATGTAAGCTGAAACTCAAACACTGAACTACAAATATTGCTCCCCAGAGTGCATTTACATATTCACGTTCCTCTCTGGTATTTCTCTTGTGTATTTGTTTCATACCAGGGGACAGAGAGGGGAGGGTGGGGTGAGGGCTTTGTCAAGTTCTCTGCAGTGAATGACAATGGAAGCTGTTATATCCCTGCGTGATGTTCACGTGAAGGTAAGGCCCAGGTGGCTCCAGGTGCAGGTAGCAGGTAGCTGCAGGTAGCAAACACAGCCTTGATGGGAAAGCTGCATGTTTCCCACCCACCAAAGGGGAAGGAAACGCTCTATGACATTTTCACATAGGGACCCAGATTCAGAAAGAAAGGCTCTGATATAAAAGGAAAGGATGTGAATCCAAGACAGGCCCGAGCACAGATTCAGCAGCCACAGAGATTTATGATCCACTGTCATGTGCAAAGAATTTTCTACCAAGTGTTTCCACATGGTAGGCTTCCTGTGATCTCCTCTCTGGCTCCCCTTGGCTCTCTCCATGTTTACTCAGACCATTCGACCAACCATCTGCGGTGCCCTCTCCTTGCCCCACCCAGTCCTACCTTTCCCTTCCTGCAAAACCCATCTCAAGCCCCCTCCCAAAGCTTGTTCACCCTGGCACCCCCATGCAGTGTAAAGCACAGGGTTTCACTCACAGCAGGTACTCGAGAAGTGTTTTTATAATGAATGATGCACTCATACTCTACCATTTGTTTGTCTTTCCACCCAGGAATTAATCTTCTTTCGACTTTCATCAGCTGCATTCAGAAAATCAACAGGTTCCAGAGTAGCAAGGTAATATTTTTCAACATAATCTAAGTATTTCTTTAAGAGAAACAGTGAAGGAAGAGAAAGAGGTTGAAAAGTCAATTCATCAATTGCCAACATCTCTAAATCAATGTGTCTTACATCTGAATGACTAATGACCTAAGCATGGATTCTTAGACTCTGAGCACATCACCTTGAGTACCCTCTACACAGTTTTATAATGTGGCTAAGGCAGAAATCAGGTTCAGACCATCAGGAGAGAAAAAACATCCCCAAAGGGTCTGTGTAAGAGTAGCAGGGAGAGAGCACCTGTGATATGGGGAGAGTCTGGCAGCTGATGTGGACAGTATATCTCCAGGGCCATTCACAAATACAGCTCACAGACATGGTAGACACAACAAAACTTACCTGAAAGAAGAGGTATGTCTTCTCTCCAAACAGCCTGTTGGCTATGCTCAGCTCGTAATCACTAGTGGGTTTGTTTATTTCGGTCAAAAACTTTTGGAATTGGTGATGTATCTCTTCTGTCTTCTCAGTCTTCAAAATCAAAACAGAAACTCAATGGGTTACCTTGATCAGAGAAAGCTTGGATTCTTCTCCAAATGGACATGGCTGCTGGGCCTAAAAACCTCAGTTTGGTAGCCTCAGTGTGACCCCCAGATGTCAGGCAGCGTTTACACAAATCATGTGATTGTGGAAGTCATAAGCAGACTTCACTCCACAAAGAAGTGTTCTCTGCCTGCTCCACACCACAGACCCTGCTTCTCTGACTTATGTCACAGTTTTGATCTCACACATAATTGCCCTCTAAATGTTTCATAGGCTTTGTTTTTAGCTCCCCACAAGACCCAAAGCACTTGAGAAATACAGTGATTCCCCAGATGATTCTCAGTCACTGTAGAGCCTGGACATTTCTGTTCTAGACAGTTGATTAGGAAAGTGACTCCTGCTAGTGTGAATGGCCATTTGTCAGTGCTACACTTGGGGATGAAGTGAGATTTATCCCCATATCCGGGAAAAACCCAGACAAACTCTTCCGGACGCTCTACTGCAGGATCCATGAGTTCCTGTATGAGGATTGAGAAGTGCTCCATGGCCAACCCAGCTGACCCAGATCACTTCCCTGGAATAGAGAGCAACACCATCCCCCTGACTGTTGAGTGATATCTTAGAAGAGGCTGGGACTTCATTCACACTGGGTGCAAAAAAGAGGCATTTTGGTTTTGAATTGAGTATCCTATTCCTGACTGCACCTGACAACAGAAAGGCCTTCTTCCTCTAGAATATGAGACCCATGGATTTGTTTATTTTATCTCTTTATTTCCCTACTGGTTCCCCAATGCCTACAGTACTGCCTGGCACGTAGTAGACACTCACTTACTTTTCTGAATAATTAATAAACATGTGAAGACATTCAGATTCAAAATGTAGAAGTGTGCTAACAAAATATCTGAGGCTGAATCTGACCGTCAAGCTACCTCCTTACTACTATGAGCTTTGAATGGCTGATGGTCATTAGATGGCTGCTTAGGTTGACTGGGATAGGGTGTGTGCAGATCAAAGTATGAGAGCCTATGGGGAATAACAGATTGATATAAAGGGAGGGATGTGGTGGGAGTATTTCTCAGGTGGGCTAGTTGTGACTGAGTTGACCTGCAAATGGGGAAGGGAAGAAAGGCCTGTCAACAAACAGGATTGGAGTTTACACTACCTCTGTTGTCTCAGAAACTCCAAGCTGGGTAATTAACTTGAAGTGGCCCTGGGTTGGTGATACTCTAGGATCTCATTCCAGAAAATAAATTCTCTTTATTAGAAAGGAAACCACAGCCCAGGCTTCACTGGAGTTCCACAGATTATCAGCCGAATATGAGCTCATATTCCAAAATTACAGACAAGAGAAAACAAACCCCATATTATGAATCTGAAAAAAACTGCAAACAACCATATTAGACTCACAAAGGATTTAGATGTTAGTAGCATCAGTATCACACTTTAAAAGTAGTATATTGAGAATGTTAACAAAAAAAGACAACATTGAAAATATGGTTAAAGAACAAAGGACTACCAACAATGATCAGGTAGGTTTAATAATCAACTAGATCGTCTAGATACGAATTTCTACAAGCACTGAAATTAAAAAATCAACAGATGAGCTAAACAGCAGATTAGGCACTGCCAAATTAGTGAACTAAAGATAGATCTGAACAATTTTTCTAGAATGCAGCACAAAAATAAAAATTAATGAAAAAATATGTAAAACAGGTGAACAAATCTGAAAGATAAAACAAAAATTTTATCCTTCCAAAAGGCAAAGAAGGAAAGAATGGGAAAACGCATTATTCAAAAAGCTAAGCGACTGAGAAGTTTCCAGAACTGATGAAATCTGTGAATTTTCATATTCAGAAAGAACAGTAAATTAAAGCTATGATAAATAAAAGAAATCCTCACCTGGAAACATCGTAGTAAAATTCAGGAACAACAAAAACACAGCACAAAAATTAAACGCAGTCAGAGATAGATCACCTCCTGAGGAATGCCAATAAAACTGACTTCCCAACAGCAAAAATAGAAGCAGAATGTGGAATGGTATTTTAAAAGAGTTGAGAAAAAATATGAAACTAGAATTCAGTATATAGCTAAATATTCAGTCAAGAACAAAGACACACAAAATCTGATGGCATTTATCCTTACTAAAGAAATTTCCAAAACTGCATTACAGAAAGAAGTTTAATGACCCCAAAAGGAAAGTCTAAATCCAAGAAGATATGGTTAGAAAAAAAAATTGGTAAGCATGTGACTAAATCTAAACAAATGCAAGCCTATAAGACAATCATGATAATGTCTGGTTTTGAAACACATAAAATGACAAGACAGAAGCAAAATATTGGATAACAATAACATAAGGAAGGAGGAGAGCTATTGAAATCCAAATGCTCTAAGACTTATGTATTGTTCAAAAGAGAATAGAGAATAATTAAACTTACTCTTTAAGTGAAGTATGCTCATTAAAATGTTCTGGCTAACTACTAAAAAATAGATATAGAATGTATGACTTTCAAATCAGTAAAAGTTGGGGAAAGAAGTGATTAAAAGAAAGAACATGTCAATTCAAAAGAAGGCAAGAAAGGAGGTAAAGCAGCAAATGGAAAGTCCCAAATAATAGAATGGACGTAGTTCTAAATATATTAGTAATCAGAATATGTGTATATGGACAAAACTTTCCAGCTAAGAAATAGATTCTCTGTAAGATTTTTTAATTTCGTTTTTAAAGGGTGCATTTAAAAATTAAAACACAAATACTAGAATCCTAGACTGGAAGAGACCCCCAGGAAGTCATTTGTCCTGCACTAATATTTTTTTTTTAAATATAGCATCAGTGTTTATTTGGTTTTTCTGTTTGTTTGTTTTAATTAAAATGGAATTTAGTAATAATATCACCTACTACTACCACCACTGGGGCCAACTTAACGGCAGCGAACAATAAGGACAACTACCACCCCTGGGCAAGTTACCAGTGTGTTCCAGACACTCTATTGGGTACTTTATAGAGACACAAAGAAAATAAAAAAACTAGTTCAATGTTACATAGCTGCTAAGTGACTGAGCCAGGATTTGAACACAGATTTGTTTAACTCTAAAACCCATTCAACTCTGTTATTGCTACTTTTCATTCTAGTGGGCTTTTACCAGTACACATCATAGTGGTTATTTCCTCTTCAAGTTAAAGTCTCTTAATATTAAAAACCAGTTGTCATCATTTCCAAATCACAGCGACCATTTTTTGGAAGTAGATTGCCAGGCCTTTCTTCTAAGCCACCTCTGGGTGGACTCAACCTCTTACCTTTCAGTTAGCAGTCAAGTATGTTAACTGTTTGCACCCCCAGGGAGTCCATCATAATAATCCCAAAAAACCAGTTACCATCCAGTCAATTCTGACTCATAGCAACCCCACGTGCGTCAGAGTAGAACTGTGCTGCGCAAGGTTTTCGGTGGCTGATTTTTTGGAAGTAGATCGCCAGGCCTTTCTTCTGAGCCGCCTCTGGGTGGACTGGAAGCTCCAACCTTTTGATTAGCAGCTGATTGCTTTATCTGCATGCACCATGTAAGGACATCCTGTTAATAAGAAGGGTTTGTTATCACTGTATAATCTCAACAACATTATGTGGCTGCAGAGATGATTGTCACTTAGTAGGAAGTGTGAGGAATTACCTCTTCCACCAACTTCCCAGTCCTTTCCCCCAGGAAGCCCACACCTAACAAGCCAACCACACTGAAAGTTGTAAGACATGTCTCTGTACCTTTTCTTCAGCTTTTTCTCTTGAGCTTTCTGTGTCTTTTTCGGAGTAAAACACCTGGAAGAGACAGAAAATAATACGGCAGTAGGCAGAGCAGAGAAAACCTCACACAGATTCCACATCAGAGGAAAGTGGATGTTTGTTAAAGAAACCTCAATGGCATATGGCTCACATGTCTCTCCTCAAAAAAAACCACAAGAAGTCCTGAGTTATCCACTTATCTCTCCAGAGGAGCTATTCGGAATTATCCATTCATTTATCCATCACTGATGAGGCATTTATACCCTGTTGTTAGTTGCCGTCCAATCGATTCCAACTCATAGTGACCCCATGTGTGCAGAATAGAACTGCTCCATGGGTTTCCAAGCCTGTGCACTTTCTAAAGCTGATTACCAGGCCTTTCTTCTGAGGTGCCTCTGGGTGGATTTGAACCACCAATTTTTCTGCTAGTAGTCCAGGGCTTCACCATCCGTGCCACCAGGGACTCTTATTTATACTCTAGTGGGGATTTTGTCACCTGTCCCAGTAGTTTTTGTTCTTCACACTTTAGCTTTAATTAATGAGATTAATGGCTTGGATGAGGCCACTCACCCAGTCCCCACCCAAAGGAATTACACGCATCAGAGAGCAGATGGTGTGATGGTATCTGGATAAGGAAGAGTCTTCCCTGAGAGACCTGACATTGCTCCATCTCTTCAGTCTTTCTCAGTTTCCTGGCCCAAATGTTAGGATGAGCATATTGTTGAAGTAACATTGGAGGGGTAACCCTGAGAAAGGAGTCTGTGAGGCTAAAGCAAAGCAAACCCATGCCTACCTTCTGTAACTGGCGGGCCGTGTTCCCTTGAGCTCCCAGAAGGATCATGCCAATGGCAGTTGAGATGCCCACAGGGGAAAAGAAGGCATTGCCATCTTCTGTTTTCTTCAGCTTTTTGAAAAGTTCAAACCCAAACCGAGTGCTTGCTGCCCCAAGTGAATTCATGATAATTTCAGTGAAATCTAGAACAGCAACAATAACAATCAGAGCAAACCAAGCACTTTTTATTATTTTAATTGCTCTACGTTGGGGGTGAGAGTCCCTGGGTGATGCAAAAGGTTAACATGCTCGGCTGCTAACCAAGTTGAGGTTGGTGGTTTGAGGCCACCTAGAGACACCTCAGAAAAAAGGCCTGACATTCTGCTTCCAAAAAATCAGCCCTTGAAAATCCTGTGGAGTACAATTCCTTTGTCATGATCTGGAGTCAACTTTAGAGCAACGGATTCTTGTATTTTTGTTTTGTTTTACATTAGGAGTGCCTTCCCTCTTGTCTTCCTCTTCCTGCATTGATTCCTAAATAGAGATTTTTCACCCTCTCAGGGAAAGGGTGCTGGCTTCTTCTCACCCCTTCTCTCAGACTTCTCTTGACAGGAGAGTCATCTGGAGTCTGGCATTGCTGAGTGATTCTCTCCTCTTCTCATTTCCCCGGTGAGCAGTGTTGACACCTTAATGGTTTGATTCTGTCTGTGTCAGAACCTGCCTGCATTTGCCTGGCAGCCGCCTCCTCCTTAGGTGAGCTGCCCCAGCAGGCCCATCCCCCATGCTGTGATGTCCAGCTTGTCTGGCTGTACCGCCTGGGACTGGGCATGGGGAGGTGAAGGAACCCCCACTGGCCCCAGGTCCAAGCATGTTCTCCAGTGCAGCCTTAACAATAATAAAGCCAACATTTGTATACTTATCTGTTATCTGGTACCTTCAGTTTCTCAGTGGACTCAAAATCCAGTGCAGAGAGTGGCAGGATAGAGTCATTCTCTCAAACCTCTCTTTCCTAACCGCATGAAAACTTGACTTTGGGCTGAATTTTCCTTAAAAGGCGATGACTTTGTCTGGCCATGAATTATTGGAGGTGGAGAGGGGTGATAAAATGGTTTTCTTTTTTATATTTTTCTAAATTGTTACAGGCTTCTATAGTGAGAGTGTGTCACTTTTATTATCTCTCACACACACACACACACACACACACACAAAATAACTTTCAAAGAGCAATTCATTTTCTACCAAAAAGAAACGAGAACATGTTTTATGTTTTCTTTATCACCAGCTACTTTAAAACTAGTTAATAAAGGTCTTACAAAGACTCCTAAAACAAGAATGAGATTAATGCAGAGTAAAATTTTTGAAAATCCACATTCTTTGGGGGGCTATGTCTATCAAGGTCCCCTCCATGCTAAGGCACCCCACACCTGTCACTAAAGATGGCATCTCAACTCCAGGTACCTAGACTGCTTGCAGGTTAACTCAGAAATAAAATGAATTAAATAAAGGTCAAACAGGATGAAGAAAATATATGGTCAGCCTTGTAGGCAATGAGTGAAATAAAACCACCCCAAAGGAAAGACCATGACCAATAAAAGAACTCCTTTCAAGTCAACAAGCATGGTTGTCCTCAAAACACAGAAGTCTGAAGTTGGAGCCAAAGGAAGACTTACCTTGGAGCCAAAGGAGGACTTACCTGGCTTTCGGAGAGACAGAGGTAGTTGGGCAAAGAACTAGGAAGCATATGTAAAATGAGAAGATGAGCAGCTGAGGTTCGAAATTTATAGCTCTCTGCCTCTCCCTAGTCATTATAGTTTGCATTTCCTGTGAAACAACCTTTGGTTTCTCAATGATAATTTCTGTAATAAAATCAGCATACCAGGTTTACTGTGAAACTCAGGGTTTCATTGCCTATTTCTTTTGTTCATAGCCAAGGAGTTGTGCCCTCGAAGTTGCCAGCAATTGTGAACTGTAGGTCAAATAGTATGCACCTTAGAAATCTTTCTACACCAGAGGAGTAAAGTTTAAATTCTAACTCTTCCAAAATCCCTTAGAAAGTCTTTTCTTGGGCCCAAGCAGAAAGAGACCTAAATTAAGCAGAGAACGAAACAAGACAAAAATAGGAGCTCAGTCTAGGACTGAAAAAGAGCATTAGAATGGCCTGGTCAAATGGATTATGACCCAAGTTGGAGTGAGAACTATGAACGGGTCTTCATCGCTAATAATTTCTGAGATCACCTGGAAGGGTGGTTTAGTGATGTGGTTCCCAACCTCAGATGCACATTAGAATCCCCAGTGGAATTTTAAAACTATCTATGCCCAGGGCGCATCCCAGACAACTGGATCAACATCTCTGTGGTGGCAACCAGGCATCAAATTTTTATCACCCAGGTAATTACAATGAGCAAACGAGATTGGAACCGCTGGTTTACAGTCCTATGAAGACTGGAATTAAATTCATACTTTATTTACCAGAGGTGGACAGAGTAGTGCCCTGACAAGCCCATTCTCTGTAATAAAGTTCACTGTGCAGTTGCATTATTTTGGAGTGCCAAATACAAAGAAGGAAATAAAGCAAACTATCTTGATTGAAAACAATGAGGAAATGGTGTGAGAAAAGTGTGGACAGGCAGCTATACACACACACATACCCCTCTTATTCTCAAGTATTCTGTCCATTAATTATGAAATCTCTAGTTTAAATTCATTCAATAAACGTTTGTGGGGAATCTCTTATGTAGCAGACACTGTGCTAAGTACTAGGAATTCATAAACATCCAACAGCATCACTGATTCCAGGAAGACAGTAACAACACCTTACATTTAAAAAAAAACAAAAAAACAAAAACCTCAGTAGGAACATGTACTTCCAAATTCCAGTTTTTCCTGCCAACCCTGGGGCATCCCCACTAGCTCAACTAGCTCTTTAAAAGAATCAGCACTTGGATTATTTTCAGCATTAGTCTTAGGTAAAGGGTGTGAAGATTTGTTGTTGTTGCTAAGCAGCAAGTCCCAGAAGGGCCTCTCAGTTCTTCCCTCTGACCAGTAAATACCTCCCTAGTGACCCAGCTCTAAGAGCACAGGTAAGTGTATGTGCCAGTCACAATGCTCACAATTTGCTTTTTTTTTTTTTTTAATGTTTTGATTGAAGTTCTTTAAGCAAACTCAAAGCAATATTTATTAACTAAATTTTCTTTCTAATTGTCACTGAGAAAAATGCAAACTGAGTAAAGTTTAAAAAGAATTAGCAGTTAGTTATGGAGTTAACCCTGGATGCCAATGAAACGAAAATCTTAGTTGGCCTGGGGTGGGCCTTGGGTATAGATGTTTTTATAATTCCCTTGGGAATTCTAATGTGCATCTGAGGTTGGGAACCACATGTTAGTTTTATAAAATGGCATCAAATCTTTGAGTCAGCAATAAAGCTCTATGTTTTAAAATCCACATCTGTTTATGGGATTTTATTATTTTATTTCCTTTTTCTGTAACCCCTAAGCGCCCTCTTCTATTGCTCGACTATTTCCATATACCCTCTGATTTTGTCTAGTGTTTTCTCTATCACCTTGCTCTCAAAGGGAAAACTGGCTTTCCCCTGGTGACCACCACATCCCACCAAATCTTCTCAGGAGACAAAGCTCTTTCCCTTAGATCTTGGGATCAGGAAGGAAGGACCCGGTCTTAGTTATCTAGTGCTGCTGTAACAGAAATACCGCAAGTGGCTGGCTTCAACAAACAGAAGTTTAGACTAAGTTTAAGACTAAGGCAGCTCTGCTTCCTGTGTTCCTTGTCTCTTCATTTTCTGCTTCCTGGTTCCTTGGCCTCTCGGCCCCTCAGGCCTCACTGCCTATGTCTGCCCTGCTAGGGCAAGTGTTCCAAAGCTCTTTAGCTCCACCGATAGGTGCCTGGAGGCACACTACTCTACCAGCAACCTTCAACCGAAAGGCATTCAGCTCCCTTGCTCCATAGGTCGGCAAGCCTAGCTTCACTGATAAGTGCCCAGAGGCACCCTACTCTGCTAGGAAACCTCCTGCACACAGGCATTCAGCTCTCTCGCTCCATGGGTTGTGTCTCACACTGGTCTCCAGGTTCTGCTGTTGCCGTTTCTCTGCAGCTGCCGTTTCTCTGCTGCTGCTTCTAGCTATCTGTGCTGTCTCCAGTGTAAAAGCTCTCCTCACTTCCTTCTGATTCCTCACCAGAATTGTCTTTGATGTCCATAATTCCACAAACAGTCTCTTCAAGGCAATCTAGGCTTTTGCCATGAGGCACTTCCAAACTCTTCCAGCCTCTATCCATTCACAGTTTCAAAAGATCTTCCACATTTCAGGTATCTGTTAGAGCAGCACTCTACTCTCTGGTACCAAATTCTGTCTTAGTTATCTAGTGCTGCTATAACAGAAATACCGCAAGTGGATGGCTTCATCAAGCAGAAGTTTATTCTCTCACAGCCTAGTAGGCTAGAAGTCCAAATTCAGGGTGCTAGCTCCAGGGAAGTCTTTCTCTTTCTGTCGGTTCTGGAAGAAGGTCCCTGTCATCAGTCATCCCCTGGTCTAGGAGCTTCTTGGTGCAGGAACCACGGGTCCAAAGGACATGCTCTGCTCCTTGCACTGCTTTCTTGGTGGTATGAGTTCCCCATGTCTCTCTGTTCACTTCTCTCTTTTATATCTCAAAAAAATGGGCTTAAGACACAACCTAATCTTGTAGATTGAGTCCTGCCTCATTAACATAACTGCCTCCAATCCTGCCTCATTAACATCATAGAGGTAGGATCTACAACACACTGGAAAATCACATCAGATGACAAAATGGTAAACAATCACACAATACTGGGAATCGTGGCCTAGCCAATTTGACACATATTTTGGGAGGACACAGTTCAATCCATGACAGACCTCATTCCCTTTCTCCCTCCTAACCCTGCTTCTTCCAATCCTTTCTTCCTTTACTCACCTTCAAAATTCCCCTTTGAAGACTCATGCCATCCAACTGTGTCATCCTTTCCCCAACCAAAGGCGCCCTGGGTATTCTGCTCATTGTTTTCCTGTCTACCCTAACTGCTACCAGCACACTGTACATCTTTACAGTCTCTGTCATGGAGTCTTACTTCCCTGACCTTCACCTTCATTCTCCTATAGCAGTGGACTCATACGACATATTAGTTTCCTACGGCTGCCATAACAAAGTACCATAAA